CTATTCAAAGAAAAACCTCTTTAGTTTAAAAAGAATTAATTTTGGGGCTGGCATTGTGGCATAGCAGGTAAAGAAAGCCACTGCCTGCCATGCCAGCATCCCTGGGTGTCCCATGTGGGTATACAGGCCCAAGGATTTGGGCCATTTTTCTACTGCATTCTCAGGCCATAGCAGAGAGCTGGATTGGAAGTGGACTTGACCTGGAGCACTTACAGGATTCTGGCACTGCAGGCTACAGCTTTACCTGCTATGCCACAGCGCTGGCCCCCCATTTTTTCTTTTTTTCTTTTGGGCAGAGAGTGAGAGAGTGAAACTCTTCCATCTACTGGTTCACTCCCCAAATGCCTGCCAATAGCCAGGGTTAGGTCAGGCCCAGGCCAAGAACCTGGAACTCTTTCCAGGTGCAAGGACTTGAGCCATCATGTGCTTCCTCCCAGGATGTGTTAGTGGGAAGCCTGATGGGAGATGGAGGAGCCAGGACTCCAATGGGCAGTTTAATATGGGAATACAGTCATGCAAGCTGTGGCTTAAGCCCTGTGCCACAAGGTCCACTCTCAGCATTTATGACTTTTTTTAAAGATTTATTTATTTTATTTAAAAGGCAGAGTTACAGAGAGAGAGGGAGAATCAGAGAGAGAGATAGAGAGATCGATTTTCCATCTGCTGGTTCACTCCCCATGTGGCCACAATGGCTGGAGCTGGGCCAGAGCGAAGCCAGGAGCTAGGAGCTTCTCCCAGGTCTCCTTCGTGGGTACAGGGGCCCAAGCACTTGGACCATCCTCTGCTGCTTTCCCAGGTGCATTAACAGGGAGCTAGATTGAAAATGGAGCAGCTGGGACTCCAATGACTTCCTATTTGGGATGCTGGCGCTGCAGGCAGCAGCTTAACCCATTGTGCCACAGCACTGGCCTCAGCACTTCTGACTTTAAATACCATCTGTGTACTGATGACTGGCAAACAGATCTCCAACCCATGTCTCTTTCTTGAACTCCAGGAGAGTATAATCAATTGTCTGGTTAACACCTCCACTTGGATGCACAGGAACATCTCAAACTCTTCTTCTCTAAAGCAGGGTGCACACCCTTTCCCCCTGTAGTCCTCTCTGAGTGGAAGGTGACTTCATCCTTCTAGTTGGTTTCTCAGACCACATCTCTCTCTCACACCCACATTTAACCCATCAAGATATTTTGTTGGCTTCACCTTTTCAAAAGCAGGTGTTTTCACGTGGGAGACCCGGAGGAAGCTCCTGGCTCCTGGCTTCAGACCAGCCTAGCTCCAGCCATTGTGACCATTGGGGAGTGAACCAGCAGATGGAAGATCTCTCTCTCTCTCTCTCTCTCTCTTCTCTCTCTGTCTCTTCTCCCTCTCTCTGTGTAACTCTGCCCTTCAAAAATAAATGTTTTTTATAAAAGCTGTTTTTTAAAAAATATTTATTCATTTATTTGAAAGTCAGAGTTACAGAGAGGCAGAGAAGGAGGTTTTCCATCCGCTGGTTTACTCCCCAAATGGCCACAGTAGCCGGAGCTTGGCCAATCTGAAGCCAGGAGCCAGAAGTCTCTTCCTGGTCTCCCATATGGGTGTAGGGGCCCAAGCACTTGGCTTATCTTCTTCTGCTTTCTCAGGCCATAGTGGAGAGTTGGATTGGAAGTGGGGCAACTGGGTCTTGAACTGGTGCCCATATGGGATGCCGGCATTGTAGGCAGTGGCTTTATGTGCTACACCATTAGTACCGGGCCCAAGCTGGTATTTTTTAGAAGTTCATGGAAAATATTTATCATGAAAAAACTGTGTATGGATCTCATTTGTTGCACCAAAAATACATGTATCTTTTAATCCAATTTTCCATGAACTTTTTGAAGTATCCTTGTACTCAAAACCTGATTCCTCATCTCAATTTCACTACCCGCCTGAAGTACCTGAAGGCCTGCTTTTACCTGGATGTGCTCATCTGTTTGCTTCCTCACTCCTTCCTTTCTTCTTGCTTTAAAGCTTATCCAAATAGTCTTTGCAGTTACTAGTAACCAAAATAACCCATATTACGAAATACTGTATTCACTATTCTAATTTTGCTTTTAGAAAAAAAAAATCCTTGGTTTTCGAAGAAAGCTGGAAAGCCCTAGGTACAGGTAGCTCAGAAATTATTTGAACAATTCAGATAAAAGGAAGTGAGTGGGGTGGTAGTGAAAGTGGAAAAAAAAAGTCAGCTTGTGCTGATTCTTTCAGGACCTTTTCACACTCACAGATCCTGTGGCCAGCTTGCTGCAGCCTCTTGGAAGAGATGTGGTTGCAATGCTTGTGCAGAAGCAGCAGTGTAATATGCTTCTCCTTGTTGGTTTTTGCTTATGTGAACTTGAAGCAGTTTTACACGTTCCATCACCTTCTATTCACGTCATTCTTGCTTTGGAGTTCAGGTTTGAGATGCTCTTTGTGAGCCTTCTAAAGACATCACCCCTGTCTCAGTTATGATCTGATCAACAAAGCTGTTTGCCTTCCAGATCTGGCCGTAGCAATCTTCCTGTCTTCTCTCTTACTCCTACCCGCTGGGCCCCTAATTCCTCAGCCAATTTGAATTATCAGTGTTTCCCTTGTGTGTGCCGTGCTTCCCTTCCTACAGGGCAAGATTAATTTGTGACATTTCTGTCTCCTTTATGCCCATATTCCCAAAGGCACAGAACCCAACAGTAACAAAAGTAGACCCTTGGGGAGCATTGACTGTGTGCCTGACACTGTGCTAAGTGTTTACAGGCATTCTATCATTTTAACTTCACCCCAAAGAGAGTAGACCCTTTCGTGATCCTCACTTGCCCTGACAGGGGGTGCCCTGCCCAGATACCCTCAGCTCCTATTTGCCAGATCTGTGTCCTCAGACTCCAGCTCCTGCAGATGGCCTCTCACCAAGGAGGACAGGTAAAGGCTTGAGGTGTTTTGTGTCTCTCCACCCCATGGACAGTGGTAAAGGGGATCAATGTGGGAACGCAAGCACTCAGAGCCTTTGTCTCAAGGCAGGAGAGACCAAAGTGTGATTCCTGGTCCATGGCTGTCTCCGAAGCTCAGCCCAGGTTGACTTCTTCCTCTTGCCTGTCTCGCTTGCCTGCTCCCTCATCTTTTCTCCTGGGAGCTCTTCTCCAATCCCTGGTCTATGATCTGTGCCTTAGGAAACTCAACCTAATATTCTTGCCTAGCAAGTCCAAGGTCAAGTTGAGATTCAAATCCAACTGGTTCAACTCCAATCAAATTTTTGAGTTCTAATCACTCTGTTAATATTGCTTGTCATTTCAGTGTGATAATTCTGTTTCAAGTTTTTTTTTTCCTAGAAAATGTTAGAGATTTTACAAGATAAATTTTAGAAAGGTAATTTTGTTTACAGTTCTCAGTATGGTGCTGGCAACATTCAAAATCCTTTCTAGTACTGAATGGGGTTGCATTTGAAGCAATCTCAGAATACTCAGATCGGTGTCTCATACTTCTTCTATGATGCTCCTATAGCCCTTTGAACTTGCAGATCTCTATTATGCAACTGGGATAATTTATTAACAGTTAAACCTATTTTAATTGTAATATTAGGATTCAGTTGAGTCGTCTGCTCCCCTATGTACTCTCAAAGGCAAAGACCCTGTCCTATTCGTTGTTGTTCTCCAGAGCAGAACAGAGTGTCTAGAATGGAGGCTCTCATCTTTTCAGATATAAGTCTATTTTATAAAAAAGTAGATCCAGAACTGTGGTTTTCAAATTTCCTCTGCATAAGCATCACCTTGGAAATCTGCCTTTTTACAAGTATCCCAGGTAATTCCAATGCTGGAGATCTTCAATTCATTATTGACATTTTGAAAAATTGATTTTATAGGGTCCAAATGCTCAATAATAACCAAGGCACTTGTATTCATCTGTGGTTCATCACTATAGTGAAATACCTGAGGCAGGCCAATGTTGTAAAGAAAAGTGGTATATCTAGCTCACAGTTTTAGAGGCTGGAAGTCACAGGTCAGGCTGCTCCCTTGGTTGAGCCTCTGGTGAGGGCTAACAGCAGATGGCAGCACAGTGCCAGTAAAGGTGGAAGCAAGAGCTCATAACACAAAACCAGACACCAGAGAGCAAATTAGGGTCCAATAATCTCCTCCAAGGGCACGCTCCCAACTGACCAAAGGACCTCCCACTGGACCCTACCTCTTAACGGTCTCACCACCTACCAGCATCACACTGAGTGCCAAGCCTCCAGCACACGAACCCTTGGGGACAAACCAGGACAAACCACATGCAACCACAGCAGCACTTGCCTTATAAATACTTACTCTGTAGTAGTTAGTTGGTGCCTGGTTCCATTGTAAGAGACTTGCAAAGATTAAATAATCTGTGTTTAGTCCCTATGAGGTGAAAAGTATTATTTCTCATTTTTGCAAATTAGAAAACTAAGGCTCAGACATGGTAAGAAATTTCTCCTTCTACCTATAGCTAGTAAGTAGATTTGGACCCAGGTGTTGGAGCTCAGAGGCTGTGCTCTTTTCTTTTTAAGGGACACAGTTATAAATTTTTAAAAAAGATTTATTTATTTGAAAAGCAGAGTTATAGAGGCAGAGAGAGAGGGAGAGACAGAGAGAGGGAGAGAGAGAAAATGTCTTTCATCTGCTAGTTCACTCCCCAGATGACCGCAGTGGCTGGAGCTGTGCCTATCTGAAGCCAGGAGCCAGGAGCTTCTTCTGGGTCTCCCACGTGGGTTCAGGGGCCCAAGGACTTGGGCCATCTTCTACTGCTTTCCCAGGCCATAGCAGAGAGCTGGATTGCAAGTGGAGCAGCCGGGACTAGAACCGGTGTCCATATGGGATGCTGGCACTGCAGGCAGTGGCTCTACTTGCTATGACACAGTGCTGGCTCGAGGCTGTGTTCTCAATTGCTACCCCATTCCACTCTTTCTACTGAAGCATGTAAGCAAACCCATATCATTCCTAGCTTTATCTCTGCTGAACCATTCCAAACAGACTGAAAGGAACACAGGACCACATTACTGCATGAAACACACAGGAAGTATTTTATTAGCTTCCAGATGGAGAAAAGGGTAGAATAAAAATATTTCAATAGAAATCCACAGCTCTCCTCAAAGAGCCCACCCTGGCGTTCACGGCCCCCCAGTCGTGGTACCGCCTGTAGTCCCCCGGCCTCAGCAGGTACTGCCGCCCTCTGTAGTTGGGCAGCTCGTAGAGGATCCAGCAGCCCTCTAGCACGTTGAAGGAGTGGATCTCACTGAAGTGGAAGCGATCGTGAAGAGAGGAGCAGTCCTCCGTGATCTCTACCATCTGCCCTCTGAAGTCCTCCCGCTCATAGATCCTGATCCTGTGGGAGCTGGCCTGTGGATTCAGCAGACAGCAGATGCCGAGAAGTCAGAGAGCTGACCTTGTTTTGGCAAACAATCATACATGTCCCCGGGAATGCGTATTTCTTTTCCTTTTTTATATTAAAGATGACCAAATCACAAATTTTTCTTACAGCAGCAACAAAAAATGAATATATTCCATTAAGAAAGAAAGAAAGAAAGAGAAAGAAAAAGGCAGGAAGACAACAAGGAGGGAAGGAAGAAAGGAAGAAACTACCAACACCAAGACTGCCATGCAGAGTTGGGTGGGTTGTACACTGTGAAAGTCAAGGGGGTGCCATTCACATTGACTATGATAGAAATGGTGCTTCCTAGGTTTTCTGGGGCCACAACTACATGCATCATACATGCTGGCCCCGTTTAGCATTTTTCTTACATAACAATTTTTATTGATTTCTTTTGTGCTCTTATTCTATACTTAGATGGTCTTAGGTTCTTCTTGGATGATATGTAAAAGAAATCACATATTAAAATAAAAAGACAACGTGACCCTGGCAAAAGACATTGTTTTGAAGCTCAATAGCATTAGAAGTGGCTTGGGGGAGAGGAAGTCAAATTGCTTTCCCCAAAGTGAGGCACAGCTTGTTGGTTATTCAGGAAGAAAGTTCAGCCCAGGCAATCCCTTAATCCCTTCTTTTCTGCTCTAAGCCCCGCTACGCTAAAATGCTGAAAAGCTAGAGCCATCATAAAGATTGAATTTCTGTTCTCAGCTCTAACATATGCTTCTACAACTCAGTTTTAGGTGATTAACGGACATAGAAGTTCAAGATTATGAAGGAGGCCTTCAAGGTCAAGCAAGTATAAAGCCTTTAGGAAAACATGAAGTTGAGCAATTTGTCACGGGCAAATCCTTTCTGTTTTCTGGAGCACTTGCTCTCCCTTCCTCTGCTTTTCGTTCCCAGCAGGTACCCACTGTCTACATGGTTTTCTTCTTCCGCCATTAAGACTCGCCCTAGGAAGGATTCCAATAGGCGGCTCTGAGGCATACAGTGCTGCTAATAAGGCATCTTCCACCTGGTCAGCGCTCCAGGGCTCACAGAGGATGCTCGAGGTGCCGCCTAATCTGATCTTCATGACAGCCTGGCACATGAAGATCAATCATTATAAGCCTTTTCTTCTTTTGGGAACAAATGAAAGAAATCCAACTTTTCAGGTTCCTAATGCCAACCTGGATTCTGTCAAGCTATGACATGCTCTGAGGGGGTTTAAACCTCACAACAGTAGTACATCTCCCATGGGAGGCAGTCCTAACTGTGGAATTCCAGGCTGCTGGGGCTTCATTTGGATAACAGAGGGCTTAGCAGGAGCTACTGGAATCTCACTGCTGGTTGCTTGTTTTGCCTAAACAAAAGGCAGGGTTAGAGGTGTACATGATGACAGTTTGAGGGGGGCTTTAATACACCGGTGAATCTCCTTTGATGCTCACCGATATCTTACACATTAACCACACTTGTTAGCTCCATTTTACAAGTGACAAAGGAGGAAATAGCTCAGGGAACTGACCTAAGGCCTCCTGACAGCAAGGAGTTCATCAGCTGCTCATTCATCACCTTGGCATAAACACTCAGACCTAACCGAGACTACTTATTTTCTGGACAGGGGATTTGGTTTTAGCAAAATAAAATAAAGTGCCCAGTTAAAAGCATTGTGTGCACACATTTTCAGCAGCAGGAAACCTTAGAGACATCAACAAAAGAGAGTAGAGGGAGAGCCAGGACACAGCAGGCTGCGGTCCATCCTTGCCCAGAGTGTGAATGACACCTGCTGATGTGACTGCCGGGCAGAGGGGCCGGGAGGGATGGACTCACGTGGGGGATGAGGCGGCAGGAGCGGATCGAGTCGCTGAGGCCCATCCACTGCTGGTAGTCGGGGTACTCGCCCCGGCGCAGGAAGTACTGGCAGCCCGAGTAGTTGGGCTGCTCATAGAGCATCCAGCAGCCGCTGTCCACGCGCACCGAGTTGCAGCGGCTGAAGTAGGGCTGCAGGTTGGAGTGGTCGCTGCTGCACTCATAGTAGCGGCCCTGGAAGCCCCGGTCCTCGTAGAAGATGATCTGCAAGGCAAGGCGAGGCGACGGCTCAAGGGCCTGCGCAGACCCCCGGCCCCCTTGTGCCCGGTCCCCTCCCGGGGCCCTGGGCGCCCGGCGGGCTCACCTTCCCCATGGCTGGTTGACCCGGAGGATGCGAGTTCAGTGTGTGGGGCCGGCAGCGCGGCGGGTCTATATAGCAGGAGCGCTGCTGCGTTGGCAGGAACAACACAAAAGGCGCCCGCGGGAGCCTCTCTCTTTCCCTCTCGTTTTCTATATAATGACCGCGGGAGTGCGGATTTATTGTATGTTTTCTCTTAGACTCTCCAGAGCTTTCGAACTGATGACCTGGATAAACCTGTCACCTGATGCCTCTCGGGCCTTTCAATGAAGCCAATTGGGAAACTGGAACTGAGTGAAGAAGCTTAACGAGTTAATCATTGTCATGCAATGTTTAACTTACCTTTTAAATTTCAAAATGGTCTCTTTTCAGGCAGTAATGGAAAGTCAAGACCAAGTCTGAAGTCACAGTGGCTGGCATTTAGATTAGATATTGATGCAAAAAAGTGAACACAGGCGTGATCTTGGCTTCTCCATAGGGTGCTCAAAGGACAGTGGGATTTTCCTTTGCCTGGGAAGACCGCTCTGTGGTCCTGGCTGTCGGTGAAGATGGCGGATATGAGATAACTAACACTCCTCAGGATGGAAGAATGATGGGGAAGCCCTGCTCAGGCACCTGCTCTCAGCTCTGCTTCCTGGAGCCTGGGTAGACCAGGGACATCTGTCCCCACATGGCAGGCAATGAAACCCTCAATTCTGGGACTCCTGGGGTGACCCCTGGTAGTTATTACTGGTAATTTTCTGTTCAGTGGTTTTGCTAAGGTTAAGCTTAGGTGAGCTTCGCCTCTGACAAATGCAAAATGATTCATGGATCTAAGACTTTTAAACCCCACATTCTTGCAAGGACCATGCGTTTTGCTCCTTTGGGCTCCACCTTGGCTACTCTCTGGTTGATGTTCTGATTCTGGGGTTTAGAGTCTTCCTTTCCTCACATCGCCCAGTAGCTCTTGGTGATCCAGTCTCTCCTGAGCAGAGTTTGTCAACCTCAGCACAATTTTGACATTTTGGGCCCCAAACTTCTCTGATTCAGGGAGGGAGTTGTCCCCTGCATGATAGGATGTCTATCAGATACATGCAAGTGGCACCACTCTGCCATGTGACACCCAAAATGTCTCCAGACGTTGTCAGGTGTCCCCTGGGAAGCAAATTCTCCCTCTCTCTTGTCCTTGGGAATCATTGCTTTAGAAGAAGCTAATCCTCCTCTTATGTACCTTATCTCCTTCCTGAGTTTGGGTTCTTGCTACCTAAACCAACACTAAAAAATAGTTTTCCTTGAATGAATGTCATATGATCCATAAAAGTATAATAAGCACAGTCCATCTCTGTCTTTTAAAAACTACAAATTTTGTGGGAAATATGGAAATGATAAATTGGTAGAAAAGAGAAAGAATTTTAAACTGCAGTCCTATATAAAAACAAGAACTGTTGATGGTATTTTAAAATTCTTAATTTTCACCCTTTGATCTAATCCTTCCATCTCTATGAATTTGGCCAAGGAAATTCCTTAACAGTGCATACAAAAATTATGCACAGTGGCTTTTTGTCTGAACACTGTTTATGATATAGAAAATTAGATGCAAATGAAATGTCCAAAATAGGGCATTAATTAAATAAAGTATGGAATACCTGATTGGAGAGATGTTATGCAGCCATTAAAAGTCCTATTCTCATATAACTTATTTAAGGGTATGGAAAATGCTCACTATGCATTAAATTAACAAGACAGCAAGTATAATGTACCCTGAAAACTACAAAATGCTGCTGAAAGGAATTGAAGAAGATATAAATAAATGGAGACATATTTTGTGCCAATGGATTTGAAAATTTACTTCATTTTTTAAAAGTTTTTTTATTTATTTGCTCAAAAGACAGAGTTACAAAGAGGCAGAGGTAGAGGCAGAGAGAGAGAGAGAGAGAGAGAGAGAGAGAGAGGTCTTCCATCTGCTGGTTCACTCCCCAGATGGCCACAAGGGCCGGAGCTGCACCGATCTGAAACCAGGAGCCAGGAGCTTTTTCTGGGTCTCCCACACAGGTGCAGGGGCCCGAGCACTTGGGCCATCTTCTACTGCTTTCCCAGGCCACAGCAGAGAGATGGATCGGAAGTGGAGCAGGTTGAGACTCTAACCAGTGCTCATATGGGATGCTGGCACTGCTATGCCACAATGCCAGCCCCACTTACTTCATATTGTTAAGATGTCAGTATTACCCAATGCAACCTAAAGATGTAGTATAATCTCTATTAAAATCGTAATGGTTATTTTGTGATTAAAAAATGGAGAAACGCATCCTGAGATTCATATGGGATCTCACAGGACACGAAAGATCCAAAACAGTCTTGATAAAGAACAGACTTGGAGGACTCATGCCTCCTGATTTCAAAACCACAAAGCCATAGTGTACAAAACGGTGTGATGTTGGCATAATGACAGAGACAACAGACCAATGGAGTAGAACAGAGAGTCCAGAAAAAGAACCTTGAGTGTACTTTTAAAATAATTTATTTATTCAGAAGGCAGAGAAGGAAAGGCAGAGGGTGGAGGGAGAGAGAGAGAGAGAGAGAGAGGAGAGAGAGGGAGGAAGAGGGAGGGAGAGGGAGAGAGAGATCTCCTATCTGTTGTCTTACTCCCCAAGTACCTGCAACATTTTGGGCTGGGCCAAGCCGAAGTCAAGGACCAGGAACTGAATCAGGGTCTTCCACGTGGGTGGCAGGGAACCAGGTACTTGAGCCATTACCAGCTGCCTTCCTGAGTACACACTGCATGGAAGCTGGCAGCACTTGAACCCAGGTACTCTAATACAGGATGTAGGCATCTCAAGTGGCAGCCTACAACTGCACCAAATGCTTGCCCCAAACATATTGTTAGATGAGTTTCACAAGATTGCAAATATTAGTCAATGGATAAAAGAAAATGTATTCAGTAAATAGTGCTGGGAAAACTGGATCTCTACATGCAAAACAATCCAGTGGACCTTTACCTTACACCAGATACAAAAACTGATGCAAAATGAATCCAAGATCTAAAAGTAGGATCTAAAACTATAAAACTCTTAGAAGAAAACATAGGTAAGAACTTCATGAAATTGACTTGACAATAATTTCTTGTATATGACACCAAAAACACAGGCAATCAAAGTAAAATACAGATAAATTGAACTTTAACCAAATTAAAAATATCTGTATATCAAAGGACATGATCAATAGTTAAAAGGCAGCCTGTAGAATCAGAAAATATACTTGCAAATTGTATATATTTGATAAGGAATTATTATCTGGGCTATATAAAGAACTCATATAATTGAACAATGACGAAGTAAACTGATTAAAACATTGGCAAGGGGCTTGAATAGACATTTCTCCAAAGAGGATGAACAAATTGTTGACAAGTACATGAAAAGATGCTTAATGTCACTGATAATTAGAGGAATACAAATTAAAACCACAATGAGATAACACTTCACACTCAGTAGAAAGTCTATTATTAAAATAACAACAGGGGGCCAGCACTGTGGTGATGCGGGTAAAGCCACCCCTTGTAGTTCTGGCATTCCCATATGGGTGCCAATTCTGGCTGCTCCACTTCTGATCCAGCTCCCTGCTATGACCTGGGAAAGCACTGGAGGATGGCCCAAGTCCTTGGGCCCCTGCACCCACATGGGAGACTCAAAAGAAGCTCCTGGCTGCAGATCAGCTCAGCTCCAGCTGTTGCAGCCATTTGGGGAGCGAACCAGCAGATGGAGGACCTCTCTTTCTCTCTCTGCCTTTGCTTCTCTGTAACTCTGATTTTAAATAAATAAATAAGCAGAAAAGAACAAATGTTGATGAGGACGTGAGGAAATTGGAACTGTTATGCTCTATTGGTGAGGATGTAAGTGATACTCCAGGAAGTTAAAAATAAAGTTAGCATATGCTCCAACAATTCCACTTCCATTTATAAAGCCAAAAGAATTGAAAACAGTATCTCTAAGAGATATTTTCACGTCCATATTTATAGTAACATTAATCACAATATCCAAGAGGTGGGAACAACTCAAATATCCACTGACAGAAGAATGGTTGAACAAAGGGTGTATATATGATGGAATGTTCAGCCTTAAAAGACACGAGATTCTAACATATGCCACAACATGGATGAACTTTGAGAACACAGTAAATGAAATAAGCCAGACATCGAAGGACAATTATTGAAAGATTCCGTTTATTTGAGATATCTGGAATAGATTTGTAGAGACAGAAAGTAGAATGTTGGTTCACAGGATATGGGGGAATTATAATTTTAATGGGTGCAGAGTTCAGTTCTGTTAAGTCTGAAGATGTGTGTGTGTATGTGTGTGTGTGTGTGTGTGTGTGTGTGTATGCCAAAGGAAAAAAGAAATTAAGAAAGCAGGTTACAAAACTTTTTAAGTAGGGCCAGCATTGTGGAGTAGTAGGTTAAATCATGGCTTCTGATGCCAACATAGCATATCCAAGTGCTGGTTCAAGTTCTATTCACTCTGCTTCCCACCCAGCTTCTTGCTAGTGTGCCTGGGAAGGCAGCAGAGGATGACCCAAAGGCTTGGGCCCCTGTACCACCCCATGTGGGAGACCCAAATGAATTTTCAGTTCCTGGCTTCAGCCTGGCCCAGACTTTGTTGTTGTGGGCATTTGAAGAGTGAACCAGTGAATGGAAGATCTCTCTTACTCTGCCTTTCCCTCTCTCTCTTTCAGTCCACCTTTCAAACAAATAATTATATAAAAAATGCTTTAAGCATTATGAGCTAGTTAAGAAAACACAGATGCCTAAAATTATGTGAACCAAAATGTTAACTTTGCTTATTGGCAGAGAGTAGAATTGGGGTCTATGGCCATGCCACCCTGAATGTGCCCGATCTCATCTGATCTTGGGGGCTAGGCAGCGTCAGGCCTGGTTAGCACTTGGGTGGGAGAGTAGAATTGGTGATAACTTTCTATTATATTTTTTCAGGTCTCCACATTTTTTAAAAAGATTTATTTGTGTATTTGAAAGTCAGAGTTACACAAAGAGAGAGGAGAGGCAGAGAGAAAGACAAAGAGGTCTTCATCTGATGGATCACTCCCCAGTTGGCCGCAACGGCTGGAGCTGCGCCAATCCAAAGCCAGGAGCCAGGAGCCAGGAGCCAGGAGCTTCTTCTGGGTCTCCCACGCAGGTGCGGGGG